TTTCCCCTGAAATAAATTCCAGTGAATATGCCATTTCCTTCATACTCTATTGAGACACAGCGCAGTGAAAATTGGATTCACATGTAATGCTTGAAAACATGTCAGCAAAAATAAATTAAGTGAAATTCTACGTGTGTGACTTCATAATAGTTGGAAATAAACACATTACACCCGACCCTACCACTCCATATACAATGTAAACTACACCCCAAAACATCCTTTCACCCACAGTTACTACCGTGTTTCACCAGTGTATTCTATTTGACGTCAGGAGAAATTGAAATAAACAAATTAATTATAATTTCAGCCTCTAGTTGACCACTGATTAAATAAACTACCTCGTCTTTATGTCAACTTGCAGTTATTCATTGCCTACATCAGTGACTTCAAAATATATGTTTCAATCCCAGGAATTTCACTCGCTGTTAATTGCATGGGAGTGCCAGTCTTTAATGAATTTCTATTGTCATGTCAATTTCTTGCGATTACTCGGAACATTAAGCTGTAACCACATACCGCCCAGGTGCTGTAATTAAATCCTGGTGTAAGCACCATATGAACAATGCATGTGAAGCCAGCTGTGGGGTATATTCAATCCTATAGATTTCTCATTGTTTGGTAACTATTTCCTAAAAATGCAACAAAAATCAATATAAAAAATATTATCCACACAGTATTCTACAGGTTGCTTGTGTAATACTGTGGTTATGTAATACTGTGGTTATGTAATACTGCTGTAATTGGACGTAGACTTGCCTAAGTGATTGGAGGGTTATGGTGACGTGTTGACTGAACGGATAATAATGATTAAATAGATCGTGAATTCAGGGACGTCTTCTAATCACTTATGATAATTTTTAACATGTTTTCTTGACAACCAGACGTATTAGATCTATGCGAAAGCTGCATTAGTTTCATCAATTCGTACATTATTTGAGTCACAGGCCCTCTATCAGAGACTGTGTTTGAGTGTATATATGCATGGGTACGTAATTACGGGGGTTCAAGCAGAATATGTCATGTTCGTCATACCATGGAGATGAAAGACTGTCTTTTACCTCCATGGTCATACCTTCATTTGTTATGGTTCACCCCATCATGCGCATGCGTACTGAGTTGACCTGGTTTAAATTTAGCGGGCAAAAATATTACTTTGGTTATAAGCACAGGGAGCCCAGGAACTATAATCAACTGTAATACGGAGTTTCTATGAGCGGGTGGGGGGGGTATCGGCTGGTATCTAGTGTAAGAAATAGACTTCCATGTTATTTTGCGAACCTCGTATAACGTGCCCGGTTTTAGTTATAAACAGACGTTAGCTTCACGTTCATGTCCCTTCCATGATAACAGCCGAAAACATATTGCTTGTTTTTTACCGGTTTCCATTGGCAACCGAAGTATTTTTATTTTGTAAACAAATTTTCGTCTGCTATTTTTATTCAGTTCAAATCGTTCAGCAACATTTTTGGCATATTAGGTGGACATCACATGGAATACTACGATTGAGAGAACTTGATGTATGTTGACTGATTTTTATCATAGTACGAAGTACCAGGAGGTTACTCAGTTCCAAATAAAGATTACCAACGTCAAATGAGCAACATTTGACTGGTAATCAAGATTCATGTAATCCATGGCTAACAAGCAACATCACAAGCGAAGTTGTAGCATGCAGTACTAGTAAGTCATCCCGTCAGTGGAGTACCGTGTATACCGCAGTAACACGGCATGTTTGCCATCAGCATTGTATTCAAACGAATCACGTGGTGTGCCGTTCTCGTTCAAACCCGGGATTCGATCAATAGGGGAGTCCCAGTAAAAAAACACATTGCAAATCATGCAAGTTCAACATTTTCAAACCAAT